TGCCAGTTTGTGCATACTATTATAAACCTGAATTGGATCATGTATTATGTTGTTGATGTTTAAAAATATTTTAAATTTTGGTTATTGGATATTCTGTTAGTCATGCACTGTGGTGTTTAACTATTTTTTACTAATTTAGTGCATTAGTTTTTAAGTTTTACCCATCCTGGTTGCATATTGGATTTTGTTGATGTTTAAAAATAGTTTGATTTTTGGATATTGGATATCCTGTTAGACATGCATTGTCATGCTATTAGTGTGCTATCCTTGTTCGGAGGGGGGCGGTGGTGTCACTGTTCTGTTTTTTTTTTTTTTTTTTTTTTTCCTTTTTTTTTGGTGTTGTAATGATGTTGGGTTGGCGCAGGTTATGTTGTTTGTTCTTGTTTTATTATTCGGACGAGCATGTGTGTGCATACGGGGGGGTGTGGGGTGAATGCGTTATAGTATAAGCATGTTATATTATTGTTATAGTATATTGGATGCTCTTGATGTTTAAAAAGTAATTTAAATTTTGGTTTTTGGATATTCTGGTAGATATGCACTGTCATGCTATAAATATGATGTCCTTGTTGGGGGGGGGGGGGTGTCATTTTCCCGTGTTGTTTTTTTTTTGTTGTTTTTTTTTTTTTTGTTTTAATGATGTTGGTTCGGTGCAGGTTATGTTGCTTGTTTTTGTTTTATTGGGGGGCGAGCTGTGTGTGCGTACGGGGTGGTGGGGTGAATGCGGTATAGTATAAGCATGTTATTCTATTGTTATAGTATATTGGATATTGTTGATGGTTAGAAATAATTTAAATTTTGTGTATTTGATATTCTGTTAGACATGCACTGTCATGTTATAAATGTGTTATCTTTGTGGGGGAGGGGGGGGGGGGGAGGGGTGTGTGAAATTGTTCCGTATTTTTTTTTTTTGTGTTGTTGTAATAATGTTGGTTCGGTGCAGGTAATGTGGTTTGTTTTTGATTTATTATTTGGACGCGTGTGTGGGTGCGTACAAGGTGGTAGGGTGGATGCGTTATAATATAAGCATGTGTGCCTTCTCTTATTATTGGATGTTGGCATGCTGTGTGTGCGTGTGGGGGGGGGGGGGGGTACTGTGGTTGATGCATTGTTGCATAACCTCCATCTTGTGTATTGACGCAGACTGTGGCCAAGATTTATGCTAAAAAGGCCGATGCTGTAGCTGCAGCTATGGACGATTTGATGCTCTTTATGGACCACCATGGTGATGACACAGGACTGACGGAGGACTTTCTTAGAGTTGTTGCAGGTGCTCGGAGGATCATCTCGCTTGCTGATCAGTTTGGGTCCAACAGTGGTGCACCGTCTGGTGGTCTTGGGGGGGCTACTGCGCTGAGCGGTGATGATATCTGGGACAACCCGGAGAACTTTGAGACTGTCGATGCGGTTGTTAGTGCCGTTCAGCAGAAGTCTATTGCCGTTGAAGTCTCACAAGCTGATGCGGGGTTAGACCAGCAAGATCCCGTCGGGCAGCAGGCAGATGTTGCGGGAGATGCGGGTCAGTGCGTTGAGTCTGCCGGTGATGCTCCGCCCGAGGCGGGGGATGGAGTTGGTATGCCCGATGCTGTAAGTAAGGTTGTTCGCCGTCGTAGGAAAAGGAGGCGGTATTAGGGTTGGAGTGGGTGGTATTGCATGTTTTTGGGGTTGGTCTTTTTTTTTTTGCTGTTAGGGGGTTGGTGGTTTGATGTGTATTTTGATGACATGGATGGTTTGCGATTGTATCCGTGACATGCGGGTCACTATGTATATTTTTTGGTACTGCACGGTGTGTGTGCGGGTGGTGAATGGTTGGTGTTATGCGTACATGTTTTGTCTAGTTTCATATTTTTATTATTGCGTTACTTCATTCAGTGTGCAATTAGGTATGGTGTTGTGTATATATGGGGGAGCTTGTATGACTGGTTTTCTCATTTATTAGGATGATGCATTCCGCCCATCGTTCAGTCTTAGGTTGTCTCAGCAATTTTCGTGTGTGGGTGATGGTCTGTCGCAGGATCTACCTTCCCAATGTTGGGATGTGGTGGACGCGATTGTTCGTGAGTATAACGCACAATCAACGAATGTAATGCCTCTGGGGTGCTCTTCGGCCCCATGTCATCCAGTAAGTGTGCCTTGATACGTTTCGATGCTTTACAAATTTATTTACTAGGTGGTATGTGCGTATAACAGTGGGGTTTACACAGCATCATTTTTATTTTTTTATTTTTGTGGTGGTAGGTTGGTGGTCCCAGCACTCTTTCGCCTTAATGTTGATGGGGGGGGGGGGGGAGGGGGGGGTTAATGTTGATGCCGGCACCCCATTCACCCTTAATGAGGTACGGTGTATAATGGCGTGTACATTTATCCAATATATGTTATTTTATGTGGGTCTATTATTTTTTTGTTACACATTACGGTGTTTGGGGATCGGTTTGTTGTGCAGCGTATTCGTGTAAGGACGCGGCCTGGTAGCTCCATTGCTGATTCTGAACCGTGCCGTGCACCAGCAAAGCAGTCCCGCCAGCCTTTAAATAATGTTCGCGCGTTGAGGACTCTTGATTTGAATTCGTACGAACGGTGGACACGCTCACGTGTTGTACACGCGGAAAATGTGCAGGGACCTAGTGCGCAAGATGTTTACAATTGGATTGCTAGATCGGGGCGTGCTGACATGTATTTCAGTTGTGATAACTTCAGTTTTTATTTCCTACTTTACTTGTGATTTGATTTTCCTTTTTCTGTCGGGGTTTTATAATCATGGAAGAGGAGTTGTTTCTTTGGTGTGGTCGGTCAGCACGTCGGGTCGAGTTCGTCTCCCTGGTGGAAGGTAATGAAGTGTTGGTGGGCATTTTAAATGCGTGGAATTGTGTGTTATCTTTTAGGGAAATGTCAAAGGTTGCTGGGGAACCGTCTAGGCTTTTCGTCTCCACGATGACTACGGTTTGTCTCTTGTTGTCATTTTTTTATCTATTCATTTTCCATGTTCCGTTGTTTAGATTTTTGATTGGGTTTTTAACATTGTAGCTGTACACGGTGGTTGATGTCTCGGCTCCTCGTGGAAGTCGTTTACAGATAGTATGCAGGACGAGTTGAAGTTATCGCCTTATAATTCATGGGATGATATAGACATGGTTCGTTAACTTTTTGTGTCCATTTGGTTAATGTGCATTTGCCATCATTCATTTTTTAAAATGGGTTTTGTTGCATTTCTTTGTGCTACAGTTTTTTTTTCCCCATACTTCAAGCGCACCACTACTATGTTGTTTTAGTGGATTTCAGGCGTCTGCGGTTTGACGTCATTGATAATTCCTCCGCGGAGGATCCGTCGCTCGACAAATATGGTCACACCCTAACGGTGTTGGTAGGTGCAAGTTCTTTTATTTGTTGTATACCTTCATTTTTTTTTTCTTTTTTGGGCCCCCGCGGTTATACATGCTCCCGTTGTTTGCGTTTTAAATTTTTTGAGTTTTTTTTTTTTGTAGCATGATTTGCTTTGAGGATATGGGGGTGATCGCATTATATATGAAGGCTTCAAAATTGGTGCCTCGTAGGGTTCGTTTATCGTGGCGAGACGCAAATAACAAAGTCGATTGCGGTGTGTTTGCCATGCGTCACATGGAGTCTTATGTTGGGCAACCGTATTCTACATGAGATTGCGGGCTACGTAGGGGTGATGCGCGTGCCTTATTAGAATTATGTGTCGGGTTCATGTTCGATATTTTGTTGTTCCAACGCAACACGCATAGAGCCGCAAATTTCGCCCGTGTTAAGAGCTCGATTGCTGCGGTCCGTTGAAGGGGCGTTCGGTTGTTTCAATTTTTTTTTTTTTGTTTTTTGTTTGCCATTTGTTCGGCTTTTCCTAATAATGCGGGGTTAGACGCCTGTCATCATTGCACTGTTGTGTGGTGTTTTTATCTTGGATTTCCACGTAATCTTTTCCGTATTAATGATGTTCGTTCATGTTGAATTTATTTTTCTAGCGGATGCATCAATGTCAGTCTACATGCACATGCGTACAAAAAGAATACGCACTCACGTTGATGTTTTTTTTTTTTTTGAATCTCCAAAATTTGCGGCCCTACGCAAAATACTACTCTGGCATGCATTTGTTTGATTAGGTAACCAATGGTACCTGACGCTTTTAGATGATGACCGTATCAGTCTATTAATACTTTAGGACACTCGTTGTCTACGCACATGCGTAATTTACAGTCACACACTTTTTTTTTGTTCCAGTAATATTTCGGAAATCCACGTGGGGTATTTCGCAGGAAGTTGTCCGACATCCATGGTCCATCATCGAACCAATATGGTGCTAATCTCACTGTCTCGACAAAGTCTTGATTCACTCTATACGCACATGCATAGTTCGTAGTCACGCACCGGTTTTTTTTTTTTTTTTTTTATAAAAACATTTATAGTTACAGAATTTGCCATGCATTAGTTTGATTAGTAAACCGATGGGACCAGACGCTTTCAGATGATGACCATATCAGTCTATTACTACTTTCGGTCACTCATTGTCTACGCACATGCGTAATTTACATTCACGCACCTTTTTTTTTTGCAATTATATTTCCAAAATCCACGTGGGGTATTTTCGCAGGGAGTTGTCCGACATCCATGTTGCATCATCCAACCAATGTGGTGCTAATCTCAATTTCTCAATATAGTATTGACTCATTCTCTACGCACATGCATTGTTTGCTGTCACGCACCGGGTTTTTTTTTTTTTTTTTTTTTTTTTTTTTAAAAAACATTTTCATGTTACGGGATCTGGGAGTTGCATTGCCTTTGTATTGTTATGTGAGTATGTTTGTTGGAAATTCGGGGTCCAGGGATGATAGGTTTATTCAATGAAAATGTTTATTAACTCGTAATTCAATAATAACGTCAGAACAGTTGTGCACAAACTAGCATTTACGAATATAAAATTATTTCTATTTTTTTGGGCAGCTTCAACTGTTGTGTCCGGTTGCGAGTCCACATGTTTTGCATGTTCACTTCTTCTTATTTTGCTCCTTCATTGCGATTTCTTTGGCTGTCCTCATTCGTTTTCCTGACCCTTTGGTACTTGATACTGCGGGCGGATGCACGGTGATTGTGTCAGGTGTGGGGGCACCACAAAATGTCTCTTTGATCGATCGTTTCCCTTTCTCTACGGCCACGTCGTCTTCACCGTCGATGCACCATGTGGTCTCAATTTCCGTTAGCGTATTGCGTATTTGTTTTAGCTTCGTGGAATCTCCTTGCGCCATGGCTATGCACCTGTACACTGTGTTCAGCACGTCACTTTCTTCTTTGGTGCCTCGTGCTTTGGGGTTTCCACGCTGGAACGTATCATTGCATGTTTTGATTGGTGAAGTGGTTAATGCGGTTCGTGTCCACCGGGGTGTGATTTGTTGGGGGGTATGTCCTCGTTCCTGTCATATATTAACACTGCAAATGCATGGCTGCACAACAGTCCAATCTGGATGTACATTCGGCACTCGCAGGTTGTCGTCCTTGTCCCGTGTTCAACGAACACTGTGTATCGTACATCGTGCTCATCCTCGACCTCATATGTGTTCCCGGCCTCACCGGGGGTGACACCACGGACCCGGCAATCAAAACATCCGGCACATATCTCCGTCTGCACATCATAAAACACAGTTAATGTATATATTGACGTTGCCGCTCGCTCGATGCGCAATTGGGTTTTTTAAGGGGGTGTCTGTGCAAGGCTGGCACCGTTTAGCTCGGTCTGTGTTAGGCGTTGCTTTCTGATTGTACTCTCTATCCTGTTAAAAAATTCCGAAACACAAATATGTTTGCTAGTGTTGCTTCTGAAAATCCGGTTCTCTGCTTCAGAGCGTGATGTTGTACGCAATAGCCCTCCCATAAAAACACCTTCAAAAGATGCAGGGATCCACGATGCGCGCTCGTCGTACATGCGGTTTAGCCATGGATTTTCAATTAAGCCAAACATTTCTATAATCGCTTTCCATGCAACCTCAAATTTGGCGGTAGTCAAGCTGTCATTCCAAACAACATCATTCAGCTCTCTTCGGAATGCTTCATTTTTTGCTAATTCAGGACTCACTTTATCGTTGACCTTCGCCATTATATGCCACATACAGTAACGATGGCGAGTTTCTGGAAATTCTTGTGCAATTGCAACCTTCATCGCTGGGTCTTGGTCGGTTATTGTGAGTGGTGGTGTGCTTCCCATTGCGTTTCTAAAGTTCTTTAGTATCCAACGGTACGAGTCGACATCCTCACGCGCAATCAGTGCTGCTACGAATGTTACGCATTTTTTATGGTGGTCTATACCGGTGAATGGGACGAACACGAGACTGTACCTATTTCACGAGGAAATGTGTTAAATAATACGCATGTAGCGCACAGGGTTACATACTGTGAAATAAATATAAATATAGAAATATAGTGTATGGAAAATATAAAAGTCAGGGTTGCGTACTGTGAAATAACAAATCCATAAATTTATTAGCATTTTAATGTAACAAATCGTCTGAACCATTCATATCCGTAGCAGTGCAACGCACATACCGTGGACCGTACACGCACCCCAGTACGGGTTCAAACATGTACACGCACCAACGGTATTGCAGCCTGTAAATGAGGTGCGTACCTGTTAGTTTTGTACCTAGCATCAAATGACACAACATCTCCGAAAACACTATACTGCTTTCTAGCCATACCATCTGCCCAGAAAACACGTGCCAACTGGTCATTCTCGTTTGCCTCGTATTCGAAATACATATCGTCATAGTCCGATTTGAGATCGAGGTATTTGGATATTAGCATTTGCGCATCTCCTCCTTGCATGTACGCCAAAATCTCCATTCTATAGTTCTTGAAGTCTTGTTGTGTCGCTCCCACGTTTCCAACTCCTCCCACCATCTCGGCGTACAGGTCATGACTTTTACTAGCCCTAATATTGACTTTTGAGCAGTTCGCGATGAATTGTTGGTGGCCAATATCTAGTTTTCTGTTCCCTTTCAAGAAAGGTTTGTAACTCTCCTCGCACAAACAGTGGGTGTGCCCCTCTTCAAACTTCATGACCACGTACCTTCCTTTACTGTCTCTTCTGAAAACTATTTATGCCATGCACCCAACCCTGTTAGACGGTCGTCGTCGTTTTGTTTGTGTGGTGGTATTTTGATCTGCTGTGGTGTCTGGTTTTGCATCCTTATACCCTTCACGATTGCACACTAGTTTCTTTTTCAGGATGATCCCGTACCTGTTCTTAATGTCGGAACTCTTGCGCACATCAAACCCAATTACGGATGCATATGTCTTGTAGTACGCGTTGCCATCTTCCAAGGTATCAAACACCTGATCGACAACTGGTTTTATCGATGGGTCACATTCCATAAACCAAATGCTCGTACCGTCTTGGGATTCATCCATCACACAGTGTTGGCTTTTCCCTCCTTCTTCCATGCTTATGTCACCTGCGTAACGATTCGAATTATTCGTACTAGAGTTTAAAAAACATAGTTGACACATTTGCATGGAATTAAGGCCCCATGCACGGATTTACAGCACACGATGCACCCACTGAAACACAGATAAGTATACACAATGATCGCATGCATGTCAACTCATTATATGCGTAGTGCACAAGGCTATAGTCTACCACGCACTCACCCATATAAATCACAGTTCAGTATATACAAAGACCAAATTGTGGACGACTCATGATAGGCGTGGTGCACAAGGCTTCGTACTGCTGTGCAACTGCGCTCACTGAAACACAACTAAGTATACACAATGATCGCATTTATGGCAACTCATTATAGGCATAGTGCAGAAGGCTATAGTCTATCACGCACTCACCCATATAACACACAGTTCAGTATATACAAACACCAAATTGTGGACGACTCATGATAGGCGTGGTGCACAAGGCTTCATACTGCCGTGTACCTGCGCTCATTGAAACGCATCTAAGTATACACAATGATCGCATTTATGGCAACTCATTATATGCATAGTGCACAAGGCTGTATACTATCACGCACTCACCCATATAACACACAGTTCAGTAGATAGAAAAACCAAATTGTGGACGAGTCATTATATGTGTGGTGCACAAGGCTTCATACTTCCGTGCACCAGCTACCACATCCGAACTCGGCCTTTCCGGTTACACTATCATGCATCAACCAATACCAACGCAATTGAGGCAATACGCTCAAGTATACATACCCTCGTGAAACCATGAAACCACATACCGGCCCTTAAGTTATACTCACGTGCACAAACATACATAGGCACACGCATCCACCACATTTAGTTCAATAGGTGCTAAACGGCCACATTTTTTTACTACTGGGCGTTTGTCCTTTGCAAATTAAATGTCAAGTTTAACCAACAACTTTCCGATAACAGATAGCCAAAATCAAAAACGTCAACAACCAAAAATCGAATACACATATTGGGGAAAAAAAAAAAAAACTCTTCCCATTCATACGCATCTGTACTGCGGTTTTTACTATTCATACACAGCAGCTCACATTCACATTTGTCACATTATACCCATCATTTTGGTCAACATATACTTCCACGCACTCACCGGTACATACCAAATTATCCCCAAACGGCCTCCCAAAACGAAAGTGGTTGGTGTATATGTTGGTTTCCACACTCGTCGCAATCTCATATATATGCACAAACACACATACAGTTTGTCGGGTTTTTAGTGCTAAAACTTCGTAACTCGCAGGCCAATTAAAAAACAATTACAGAAACTAAACACGCACAAACTGTGTACCTATTATGAACACACCTGTGATGGTAGATGTTTGTTCGTGCAACCTCACCGGTCCGGCTTCCAACATGGAATGTCTCGCGCGTTTTTTTTTCCCTTCCCATGTGATGTATCACCCCATATATATTTGCTGTATTAATATCCCTTAATTCATGTATAACTTTTCATAATAATTTTAACCATAATTAGGCCACTAGGTACAATTACTGTTAACACCCTTAGTTAATGATAAATCTTTATTTTATTCTAGGAGATCTCATGATCTCAACCATTGATTGGGAATCAATCTATGGATATCAAGAAATCTCACAGGATCATATAATTAGGGGGTGCACCGGATTCGAAGCCTATATATATATATATATATATATATATATATATATATATATATATATATATATATATATATATATTACTCAATATTTTTCATTGTTTCCATTATAATTTTTCAAACAATAAAAAATAAATTAAAAACTACCACGAGTATAAAACAGGTCTTTGGCAGGCCTAGGTTTGACGGGCCTTTCCCTTACTGGACTACGGGTTAAGGGTCCATGTCATAACAATAATATGCAAGGTCTCAGATCCTAAACACGATTTTTTTTAAAAAATTTAAATAGTAAACAATATTTATTTCTTATGTCCCAAAAGTTCACAACTAACCTAAAACATAATTAGTCCATAATAAAGAGTCGTGAAGAAACACAACCTAGGCTCTTCAACTTTCTATATCCAAGATCTCATAACCTAGGCTTCCAAAGGTTTTTACTGTTCTAATACCAACTTGTAACAAAGTATAACTAGTTCTATTGCCCATAACAAAGATCTCACAACCTAAGCTCTGATACCAATTTTAAATTAAATTTCTCTGTAGCTGTGAGTTTTTTACTTAATGTGCCTGAGTATTGTGCTTAATGTGCCAGAGGTTTGTACTTAATGTGCGTGACTTTTAACACAATCGCGCAGGAAGCTATAAACAAAATACATTCAGACCACAAACTCACACACATTAAACACAAAATTCAGACGAAGACGTATATGATGAAGAACATAGAGAGGGGAAGAGAGGATTAAGGGAATAGGAAGAAAAGACGTATATTAAGAAGAACATAGAGAGAGGAAGAGAAGACAAAGACGAAGATGTATATGTACATGAGCAACAAGAGCACATTAACATTACACACTCAAGCACATTAAGTACAAATCTCAGGCACATTAAACACAAGACTCAGGCACATTAAGTACAAAACCAGGCATATTAACATTACACACTCACGCACATTAAGTACAAATTAAAGCCCAGGCACATTAAGCACAAGACTCACGCACATTAAGTACAAAGATCACGCACATTAGTCAACCGCACAACTGCACGGGAAGCACCCAACTGCACTGGAACCTTTCGCTATATATATATATATATATATTGTGAAAGGTTCCCGTGCGGTTGAATGCTTCTCGTGCGGATGTGCTGTGGATTAATGTGCGTGAGATTTGTACTCAATGTGCGTGAGTGTTGTGCTTAATGTGGCTGAGATTTGTATTTAACGTGCGTGAATGTGTAAAATGCAGCAGAAAATATTTATGTCAGCTTCTTCCCCATCCCTAGTAGCCATTTGCCCCCACCCTGATGATGATGATGCGGAGGCGAGCTATGGAGGTTAAGAATTATGGGAATAATACAACAGAAATCCACACTTTGCTGCTGTGCAAATTTTACTATGCGTGCGTTATTTATATAAACATTCAAACTGCATTGAAGGTAGCTGATAACCCAGAATCCATGGCCAAATTGAAGGAAGAAGTAACCAGAAGTTTGGGCGTTAAAGTGCGTGAGTTTATATTCTGCTTCCTTCTGAGCTCGTAATTATGAAATACGCACGCACATTAAACACAATACCCAGGCACATTAAGTACAAAACTCACGCATATTTACATAACGCACATTAAGTACAAATCTCAAGCACATTGAGTACAAATCACACGCACATTAAGTATAAACCTAACGCACAATAATCCACCGCGTTAAAGTGCGTGAGTTTATATTCTGCTTCCTTCTGAGCTCGTAATTCTGAAATACGCACGCACATTAAACACAATACCCAGACACATTAAGTACAAAACTCACGCATATTTACATAACGCACATTAAGTACAAATCTCAAGCACATTGAGTACAAATCACACGCACATTAAGTATAAACCTAACGCACACTAATCCACCGCACATCCGCACGGGAAGCAACAAATGCACCTGATCCCTTCCCTATATATATATATATATGTATATATATATATATATATATATATATATATATATATATATATATATATATATATGTATGTATGTATATATATATATATATGTATATATATATATATATGTATATATATATATATATATATATATATATATATATATATATATATAAGTGAATTCTTCAATATTTTTCGGTGTTTCCATTATAATTTGTCAAATAATAAAAAATAAATTAAAAACTAGCACGAGTATAAAATAGGTCTTTGACAGGCCTAGGTTTGACTGGCCTGCACTTACTAGTCCACGAGCTAAGGGTCCCTGCCACAACAATAATTATGCAATAATGTGTAAGGTCTCACATATTAGCCACGATTTTTCAAAAGTTTTTAAATCGTAAACAATCTTTATTTCTTATGTTCTAAAAGTTCACGACTATAAAACATAATTAGTCCATAATAAAGAGTCTCAGAAAAACATGACCTGGGCTCTTCTACTTTCTATATCCAAGATTACCAAAGATTCCAAAGGTTGTTGCTGCTCTGATACCAAGATCTTACAATCTAAGCTCTGATATCAATTTTACATCAAATTTCTTTGTAGCGGCTAGAAATATATCTTGACAGCATCCATAATAGTAGAGTTCTTTTTTTTTTGTCCTTTTTGAGGAGTATTTGTAAGTGTGATTAGGAAAGAGTATATTGAATGAAAGAAAAAAAAAAAACTAATTTTAAAATAATAATCTTAAATTTAAAAAATAAAAAAATATAAACAACCAAAAAGTCAGAGGGATTAAATGTGATATTTTCTCATTTTGGAATTAGGTGAATGACACACGCGGGTTTTTGACTAGGGTAGCCTGTAGGGTTGACCCGGTCTACGCCATAATTTGACGATTGTCTCTCCTAATTTGACGATTGTCTAGGGGCGGTTCCGGTGGGCTTAAGCCCTACACCCCAGGCGGCGGTTACACCGTTAATCATCTCGCAGGGCTTAACTACAGAGGTTCCAGTGGGCTTAAGCCTAGAGGTATTTAACAATATTATCTAACGGTGTTTTAGAATAATGATGTTGTTTTTTTTATTGATAATGATTTCCAATTTTTGAGTCCCTCAGCTATTGGTTTTTTCCACCTTTATGGGGTGTTTGGTCTCTTTCTTAATTACTTACTATTCATGGGTCAAACCAACTCTTTCTCTTTTTTTTTTCTTTTTTTTTTTGGGTTTTTCTTTTAGTATTTTTTTATTCATTTTTAAATTTAATTTTTTTTGTATGTAATAGTACTTTTAGTGTAGTTTCTAAATATATAGATTTTGTATACTAACCCTAAACTTAATATTTTTAAAATTTAAATTAAAAATAACTTCAATCAAACCTTGTTAACTGAACCAGACACATAAAATGAGACAAGGG